AGATGCTTCTAGCCCCATTCTCCACCTTATTTTTTGACTCATGACTCTCTTCTCTTTAATCTGCTTTGGGAGCATTAGGACTAGAATCATTAGTCAACCATGACATTAGGTTCTTTATACATCAGCTGAGCTATTTTGCATGGTTACTTTTGTACTGTTGAAGAATCAATACTTGAATCAAACTTTCCTATCCTGGTTCTGCCCTCTTACTGGACACAGTTCTGACGATGCAGGGTCAAAATGACTTGAACTGCAAGATTTCTGGAAAGAAGACTGTTAGGGATAACATTGTTTACCCTAACTGATTTGGGTAAAAATAATAAATATGGTATCATGGTTTGTTGATTAAAGTGTGTGTAACTTTAACTGCAAGAATGTAATTAAGGGTGTGGTTGTAAAAGCACAATATAAGAAGCGAGGCAATTGCAGCTCGCTCTCTCTGGCTTGAAGATCCCTAATTACTGGATGGATTGATGACTGCATTCTTGCTGGAACGGGGAGAGAAAAAGGAGTGTTGATTTTTCTCAACGGAGAGAAGATAAAGATTGGACTGATTTATTGTAAGTGTACTGACATTGGCTATTCAACACGGACTTTGCAAATAGAATATCCCCGACAAGACTTGACTGAAATGATACATGACTAATGGACCGTTTATTTTGACTATGCTATAATTCTTAAATGGAATAAACTATATTTTTGATAGCACAAGCGTATCTGTATTTTTACTGCGTGTTAACTAGAAAACTTATCTCACATATTTACCTGTCTTCCTATCTGACTTCGCAGCACGTTCTGTTTAGTTTGTTTTTCCTTAACACCCATTGGGGAATCCAGGCTTAACACTGGTTATGGGCCCAGAGAGACTGCAAAGTCAGTTTAACTAGGATAAAAACAGGTTTATGTAAAAAGTGAGATTTTGTGTTGTTACACGTTACAGTAAACAGACAGCTGTGTTTTATCAATTATAGTTTTATATCCATATAGTGAAACATGGCACAAGTCAGTCTACAAAGTTTGTCCCTTATATCCAAGCTGGATGGAACAAACTATGTTTCATGGTCTATGAAATGTAGTCTACTTCTACGAAGAGAAGGTCTGTGGAACATAATTGAAAACCCACCAAACGTAGAAGAATGGGATTCTGAAGATGAGGAAGATAGTAAAAAGATAGAAGACTTTAAACAGAAAAATGAACAAGCTCTTTGCATCATAGGACTAACACTATCTGATCAACAACTTGTTCATATATGCGGAGAACAAACAGCTGTTGGGTGTTGGCAAAAACTGAGGAGGATTTATGTCCGAGATAACGTTGGTGCTCACATAAATCTAACACGAAAGCTTTTCCGCACGTATCTCAAAAGAATGGTGATATGCTGAGTCATTTGAATACTATGAAAAGCATTTTTCAAGAACTTCATGAGAAGAAGTTAATTTTCTCTGAGCTACACCAGGTCTACATAATTCTATCTTCATTAGACGAAAGTTTTGATGACTACATAACTTCCCTTGAAATATTGCCTAAAGAAAGCCTAACTTTAACTGATATCACTGGCAGATTGATTGAAGAGGCCAGAAGAAGGCTTGAAAGAGATCAGTTAAGGAGGGAGCAACCTCAAAAGGAAAATAATGAATCTCCTACTGCATACGCAATTAAAAAGTGTTTTAATTGTGGAGGGAGAGGACATTTGGCAAGATTTTGTAAGAAACCAAAGTGCCAGAATGCAAGCCAGAATGCTGTAAGCCATCAAAGAAGAAATAAGAATTATGAGTTAGCCATGTATAGTAATGGAGTTGTAAAAAATAATTTATGGGTGGTTTGACAGTGGTGCGTCCCACTGTATTACAAATGATAACAAAAAATTTGTAAAAATGTCCATGAGTTCACAGCATATCTCATTGGCAAACGGATGGAAAATGAAGGCAAAAGGTGAAGGTATTGCTCATTGTTCTAGTATAAAGGAGAACATTAAAATGTTATATGTACCTCAACTTAAATTTAATGTTTTCAGTTAGAATGTTGGTTAGATTAGGATACATAATTACCTTTAGGGGAGATACTTGTTTAATTGAAAAAGAAGGTAAGAAAATTACTGCATCTTTAAGAGGTGAATTGTATGTGTTAAATGATAATAGTTTAGAGGTGGCTAACATGGTTTATGATAATAAGAAACCTCATGATGAATGTATTCACTTGTTACACAGACGGCTAGGTCATTTAAATTTTAAAATGATTAAGAGAACTGTTCAGCTATCTAAAGGAATAAGTTTGAAACCTTGTAATAAGTATTTGCAATGTTCTGCTTGTAATCAAAACAAAAGCAAAGTTATACCGGCAAATAGAGTTGATAGATTTACTACCAAAGAGCCTTTAGAGGTAGTATTTGCCGATATAATAGGTCCTAAAAAGCCAAGTGTAGGTGGTGCTAGATACATATTAAGCATAATGGACCACTATTCTAGGTATGGTTTCTGTTTTTTAATGAAGAGAAAAACTGAAACGTATACAAATTTCTTTAATTGGTTAAAATTTGCAGAGAGGAAAACTAAAAAGAAACTAGTAACTCTTATAACAGATAATGGTACGGAATTTACAAATAATAAATTCCAGAGTAGACTTAGAATGGCAGGTATTCAACATAAAAAGTCTGCACCATATAGGCCTCAACATAATGCATTTATAGAGAGACGAGGCCAAACACTGCAATCAATGGGAAGAACAATGTTATCTGATTCTGGATTACCTGACAATTTGTGGGGAGATGCTATAATGTGTGGTAATCACATATTAAACAATGTTGTTAATTCAACAACAGGTGAATTACCATTCACTTTGTGGCATGGTAGGAAACCTGATTTGAGTTATATTCACACATTTGGTGCACCAGCATGGGTGCATATCCCTACACAACTCAGGCACAAAGGACAACATAGAGCTAAAAGATTAATTTTTGTTGGATATCAAGCAAACCATAGATCTTATAGATTCTGGGAACCAGGTACATCTAGAGTATACTGCAGTGCTAGTGCACAATTCCTAGAACATATAGGATGGAATAAATTAAAGCAAGATTCAGATAATGATGTTATTATAGAACCCTATAAGAGGCAGAAAGAAAAGACTAGTTATAAGAAAAGTCCAATTAAAGAAGAAGTCCATGAAGAGCAAATAGAACAAGATCAAGAGGAAATAATTGATCAAGAAGAGATAGATAGTCAAGAACAGGAAATAAAGGAAAATCCACCTGTAAGTCCTGTTATACCTAGACACACAACGCGTATAACTAAACCACCTGAAAGATATCAGGCAAGTATTGTTTGCCAAGTAAATAAAGTTCCTACTAGCATAGATGAACTTAAGATGTATCCTGCTAAGTGTTCTGTACAGTCAATTAATATACTCGTAAACCCCGCGTCGCGATTGGCTAAAGCGCGCGGCGACCAGATTGGCCGAGCGAGCCGCACTGATTGGCCCGTTGGGAATCTCCCGCGATTGGGTGAGCTAAGCGCGGGAGATTCGAAGCGGTGCCATTGGTCGCGGCCACCGCGGCTTGGAAATAAAAAGCCACCGTTTTTCCTTCCAAGTTTAAGCTGTAAACGGAGCACAATAAAGAGCTGGAAATAGTCACTGACTCCGAGCTTCCTTCCTGCGCCGGACACGACACTGGCGACGAAGGTGGGATCCAAGGAAGAACCACCGAGCACGTGTCCGGAGGAAGACAAAGACCGACTAGATGGCCGGCATCACCCCGCCCGTGCCATTCAACCCGGCTACAGAGGACTGGGAATCGTACACAGACCAATTCCTAATGTTCCTCGAGAGTAGCAACTTGAAGGACGTGAACGGACAGAAGAAAAGGGCCGTTTTCCTGACGCACTGCGGGCCCACGGTGTTCAAGATGGCAAAAGCCCTCGCAAAACCCGCAGATGTAAAGGCGATGGACTGGGCCGACTTTGAGCCATTACTCCAGAACCACTACGCCCCCACCATGCCCATCCTCATCCGGCGGGACGAATTCTACCGGCGGAACCAGCGGCAGGACGAGAGCGTCAGCGATTTCATAGCTGACCTGCGGGACCTCGGGGGCCTGTGCGAGTTCCAGGACTTGGACGATGCCCTCCGAGACCGCGTGGTCCTAGGTCTCCGGGACCAGGCACTAAAGAGCCGCCTGATGGCAAAGGGCGACATCGACTTCGCCACCGCCATGGCGGAAGCTTCCGCAGCTGAAGCCACCAAAAAGTCAGCGGCCCGACTGCGGAAGGCAGAGAACGTGGACCGCGCCGACAACCCCGAGGCAAGCCACCGAGAGACCACCACACACCACGGGGACCTGGACTCCGCCTCGGACACCCCGGAAGAAGAAGAAGACGTCCATCAGCTCCAGGCAGGTCGAGACCGACGAGATCAATGAGGTCGTAAGTCGGGGCCCCAGTGCGCCGGGTGTGGGGGCAACCATTTCCGATCAGAATGCCATTTCATCGACGCGACCTGCCGGCATTGCAATAAGAGGGGCCACATCGCCCGAGTCTGCCGGCTCAGAAAAACATACAGCCCCCGCCGCCGAGAACCGAGCAATCGGAGGCGAGACGACACCCCCCCCAGGCACAGAGAGCGCCAAGCCGACAATCGCTGGAACCGAGACAACCGGGGGCGACGAAACGGGGAAGACCGCCAGAGGGAGGAAACCCATCAGACGGTCACGATTGGCCACACCGAGACCACCGATGCCCGCAAGGTCTACGTCGAAGTGAACATCGAGGGCGAGCCCTGCCGGATGGAGGTGGACTCTGGGTCCTACCTCTCCATGATCGCCTGGAAAGAAATCAAGCGGCTGGTGCCAACCATCCAAAAGGGAGGGCTGGAGAACCAAAAATTAGTGATCAAGGACTACCAGGGGAACCGAATCCCTGTCATCGGGGCCGGACAGTTCGAGGTGACCTTCAAGGGCCGCACCGCAAAACTTCCCCTGACAATCGTGGACCGGAACCGACCCAGCCTCCTAGGACTCCAATGGTTCGCACCACTTGGCATCGAGGTCACTGGCATAAACCACATCGAGGAAGCCGACTGGGAGCAGCAGCTGGCTAAGGACTTCCAAGAAGTATTCGACGGCACCCTAGGCAAGTACCGAGGGCCCCCTATCTCCTTCAGCCTAGACCCCAACATCGCCCCCATACGCCTAAAACCGAGTCGGGTGCCTTTCGCACTACGGAAAAAAATAGACGAGCAGCTTGACAAGCTCGTCAAACAGGGGGTTTTGCAGCCAATTGACCACGGCCGGTGGGAGACCCCAATAGTCACCCCAGTTAAGCCAGATGGGTCAGTAAGGATCTGCGGGGACTATAAGGCCACCCTCAATTGCGCCCTGCAACAAAGCGCCTACCCCGTCCCAGTAGTGCAACAACTACTTCACTCACTGGGGGGGGGGCAAAGTTTTCGCGAAGCTCGACCTGGCGCAAGCCTATCAGCAGCTGCCGGTCGACGAAGAAACCGCTGAGGCGCAAACGATAGTCACCCACCGGGGAGCGTTTCGTTGTAACCGATTCCAGTTTGGAGTCAGCGTGGCCCCAGGGATTTTCCAAAGCCTCATGGAGAGACTACTGCAGGGGATAAAAGGGGTGGTCCCTTACTTCGACGACGTACTAGTGTCAGCAGCCAACCGGGAAGAACTAGAGGGTCGCCTAAGGGAGGTACTTGAGAAATTCAAAGGGGCCGGTCTAAAAGTGAAGAGAGAGAAACGCCAGCTTTGCACAGAGCAAGTCGAGTTCCTGGGGTACCTCCTAGACCGACATGGCATCCACCCAACCGGAAACAAAATAAAAGCCATCAAGGAAGCCCCCATCCCCAAGAACAAAACAGAGTTGCAGGCATTTCTGGGACTGCTAAATTTTTACAATGTATTCTTGCCCCAAAAGGCGACCGTGGCAGAGCCTTTGCATAGGCTCCTGGATAAGACGGCAAAATGGACCTGGGGGAAGTGTGAGGACACCGCATTCAGGAAAACCAAGGACCTGCTAACCTCGGATGCCGTCCTCATACAATACAATGAGACTCTACCCCTCACCGTCACATGCGACGCCTCACCTTTTGGCGTCGGCGCCGTCCTCAGCCATACACTCCCGGACGGAAAAGAAGCACCCATTGCTTTCTTTTCGAGGACACTCAGCAAACCAGAAAGAAACTACAGCCAACTGGACAAGGAAGCCCTGGCCATCGTTGCAGCAGTAAAGAAATTCCACGAGTACCTTTACGGCCGCCGATTCACCATTATCACGGACCACAAGCCGCTGCTGGGAATCCTGGCGGGGAACAAGGCCACCCCGAACATCCTATCCCCCAGGATGACAAGGTGGTCCGAGTTCCTCGCCACCTACGACTACCGGCTCACACACCGCCCCGGTAAGACGATCACCCATGCAGACGCGCTGAGCCGCTCGCCACTACCCGACCTCGACGACGACCCAGCCCCCACGACGACCACCCTCAGCATAGAGGCATTGCCCGACCTACCCATAACCGCGTCAGACATTGCCCGAGAAACTAATAAAGACAAACGTCTGGCGCGGGTATTGCATTGGGTAGAAAAAGGGTGGCCGGAAAAAGACAACGACGAATCGTTCAGGATATTCCGAAACCGCCAAACAGAACTGTCCTTGCAAAAAGGTTGTTTGTTATGGGGGGACAGGGTGGTCATACCAGAAAAGCTACAAGGGAAAGTATTAAAACTTTTGCACGAAGGGCACCCGGGCATCGTACGAACAAAAGCCTTGGCCAGAAGCTACGCTTGGTGGCCAGGCATGGACAAAGAAATTGAGGCTTGGGTGGCCAGGTGCTCACGCTGCCAAGAAGCCAGACCAAATCCCCCTGCCGCACCGATACTAGAATGGGAGACCCCCAGGGGGCCATGGTCCAGAATACATATAGATTTCGCCGGCCCCACAAGAGGAAACACATTCCTCATCACGGTGGATGCTTACTCCAATTGGCTGGAGGTAAGCAACATGAAAACCACCACAACAGAAGCTGTCACTAAGGTACTCAACAAACTGTTCGCGACCCACGGTCTCCCGGATGTCATCGTGTCAGACAACGGGCCCCAATTCACCTCGCTGGAATTCGAAAAATTCCTAGCGGAACGGGGCATACGACACGCACTGACAGCGACGGCACATCCGGCGGCCAATGGTAGGGCGGAACGGATGGTTCAATTTACAAAGAAAACCATCCAAAAAATCGAACACGGGGACATACAAGAAAAGATAAATAAAATGCTCCTAATACAACATATAACCCCTAACACAACAACAAACAAAAGCCCGGCAGAATTACTAATGGGGAGGAAACTAAGGTCCCCACTCGACAGACTGCACCCCACATACAACCCGGAAAAGCCCCCAGACTCATCAAGCAAACACCGGGCCTTTGCACCAGGCGATGCAGTCTATGCAAAGAACCTTACCGGAGACCCACTATGGGTACCGGCAACCATAACCCAACTGACAGGCCCCCACTCCTACAGACTGCAAACAACGGACGGACAATCATGGAAATGCCACATCGATCAATTAAGATCAAGGGCAAGAAACACAACCGACACGCAAGCAAGCACAGACGACCCCATTAACACAAACCAAGAGGGGAGGGAATATACAGGGGGCCAAGAAAGAATAGAAAATAACCAGCAATACTCACCGGGTAACAGCCAACTCGAAGCCTCACCAGGGAGAAGCAGCCAGGCCAGCTCGACCAGCCCGGAAAGACCAGGCGGGAGCGGCGAGAGTCGCAGCTCGACCAACCCGGGTAGACCGGGAGGGAGCTGCAACGACAGGCCCGGCAACACCTTCCAGGCGATTCCATCGACGAGGCCAAGAGACACAGAGGCCTCGACCGAACTGGTCGAAAGCCAAACAACAACTAATCTGCGCAGGTCCAGTAGGCAAGTACGAAGCCCCGCCTACTTACGGGACTACGTTACATAGGACCGAACCAAGAGGGGGAGGGGTGTTCTGTACAGTCAATTAACATACTCGTAAACCCTGCGTCGCGATTGGCTAAAGCGCGCGGCGACCGGATTGGCCGAGCGAGCCGCACTGATTGGCCCGTTGGGAATCTCCCGCGATTGGGTGAGCTAAGTGCGGGAGATTCGAAGCGGTGCCATTGGTCGCGGCCACCGCGGCTTGGAAATAAAAAGCTGCCGTTTTTCCTTCCAAGTTTAAGCTGTAAACGGAGCACAATAAAGAGCTGGAAATAGTCACTGACTCCGAGCTTCCTTCCTGCGCCGGACACGACACTAAGGATCAGGAGAATTGGCAAAAGGCAATGGAAAAAGAGTTAAATTCATTAAAGGAAATGAAAGTATATGAAGATACCAAATTACCTCCAGGAGAAAAATCCATTGGGTGCAAATGGATATTTAAAGTAAAGACTGGAAATAATGGGAAAGTAACTTATAAGGCTAGATTAGTAGCACAAGGATTTAATCAAAATGTATATGATTATGATGAGGTATTTGCACCAAATCTTAAGGCTACAACTTTAAGAGCAGCTTTAGTATGGGCAGCTAAGAATAATTATATTGTTAACCATTTAGACGTAGAAACTGCCTATCTACATGCACCATTGCAGCATACAATATATTTGAAAAAACCAGTTGGTATAAATGATAATAAAGTAAATAGCAATGATTGTTGGAAACTCAAGAAGAGTTTATATGGATTGAAACAATCTGGCTATGAATGGAACCAATATATTGTGAAAGAATTAAACAATATAGGGTTTAAATCTGGTTTAGCAGATCCATGTATGTTTAAAAGAGAAAATAATGGAACGGTGTCATTATTGTTATTATTTACAGATGATATTGCTTTGATTACTAAGACCAATAATGAAGCTACTGAGATTATTTCATTATTAGCCAAAAGGATAAAATTAAAACATTTAGGTGAAATTAAAAAGTATCTAGGATTGACAATTAACAAAACCACAAAAGGATTTAAGATATCTCAAGATGATAACATTTGCCAATTAATTAAATTGTATAAAATGGAACTTTGTAAGCCTGCAAAGACTCCAATGAGTCAGGAAATTTGCAAAAATGATGCTCAAAGTCCCAAATTTGATAAGACCATATATCAATCTTTGATTGGTAGCTTATCATATATAAGCAATTGGTCTAGGCCAGATATAGCTTATAGTGTTAATCAGCTGGCATGATATAATAATGATCCACATCAATGTCATTGGCAAGCATTAAAGAGAATTTTAAGATATCTTAAAGGAACAATGCACCATGCATTGTATCTAGAGCCAAAAAGTGATTTGAATCTTAGTGCCTATGCAGATGCAAGTTTTGCAACTGACATAAATACTAGAAAATCAACATCTGGGATGGCTATATTATTTGGTAAGACACTAATAGGGTGGAGGTCAATCAGACAACAGCATATTAGCTTGTCAACGATGGAAGCAGAATTTTCATGTCTGTCATCACTATGCACTGACTTAATTCTGTACAAACAGTTATTATTAGACATGGGTATAACTGTTAAAGATTCTATTATTGTGTACGAGGACAACCAGGCAGCTATACAGTTAGCTACTAATATTGCTGTAAAGACTAGATCAAAGCATACTGATTTAAGATACTTAAATGTTAGAGAATCTGTAAAAAATGGTCTAATTAAACTTGAGTACTGCATGACGGAAGAAAATATTGCAGACCAGTTTACAAAAGCTCAAGGTGTTGTAAAATTTAAAGAGAGTTGTAACAATTATGATTTAAAGGTGTAAATGGTTATATTGTTGTAATATTTATTATTATTACCCAAAAGGGGAGAATGTTAGGGATAACATTGTTTACCCTAACTGATTTGGGTAAAAATAATAAATATGGTATCATGGTTTGTTGATTAAAGTGTGTGTAACTTTAACTGCAAGAATGTAATTAAGGGTGTGGTTGTAAAAGCACAATATAAGAAGCGAGGCAATTGCAGCTCGCTCTCTCTGGCTTGAAGATCCCTAATTACTGGATGGATTGATGACTGCATTCTTGCTGGAACGGGGAGAGAAAAAGGAGTGTTGATTTTTCTCAACAGAGAGAAGATAAAGATTGGACTGATTTATTGTAAGTGTAGTGACAATGGCTATTCAACACGGACTTTGCAAATAGAGTATCCCCGACAAGACTTGACTGAAATGATACATGACTAATGGACCGTTTATTTTGACTATGCTATAATTCTTAAATGGAATAAACTATATTTTTGATAGCACAAGCGTATCTGTATTTTTACTGCGTGTTAACTAGAAAACTTATCTCACATATTTACCTGTCTTCCTATCTGACTTCGCTGCACGTTCTGTTTAGTTTGTTTTTCCTTAACACCCGTTGGGGAATCCAGGCTTAACAAAGACCTGGCTGATACATTCCCTGGAATGGCCCTTGCTCCATCCAAGAAAAGGAAGCACACCTTGGGAGCTCTCTTAGCCCTAGGAAACAAGCAATGGCAAACCACTTCTTAAAAAAAGAAAGAAAGAAAAAAAACCTTGCCAAGGAAACAACAAGGACATGTCCAGGGAGACATTAAGAGTTAAGACACACTTGAAAGCACACACACACACACACACACACACACACACACACACACACACGAGTATTCACATATTGAAGCCATCCCCTGGATGGTTTTCTTTTGCTTTTGTTTGTTGTGGTTTTAGCCTGTTGCTTTTTCATCACATGGTTAATACGACCCTAAATTTGCAACCAGTAAAAAGAGGGAGAGGATTTGAACCTTTCTTTTTCTTGTTGACATTAATGCCTCTTCTGTTTTGACATACCTGATGATCTTTCAGGGGACCTGTGGCTTTTGTTAAGGGAAGGATAGAGGCCTATGTTTAGTTTACACTCTTATGGACTTTGGTAGGCATAAGCTGACCATGAACCCATGAAATGAATTATTTCCACTTACTCTATGTAGGTATAGGAGAATTTTGAAAGACAATACTTGGTTCCAAAGATGCTAGGTCACCTTAAAAATGTCCTTACCCTCAATTGGAGGGCAATTCCACCACCACCACCCCAAAATGAAATTGTTTCAAAATAGCAGAGAATGAAGACTTGGGCTCTCTGGTAGAGAACCAGAGTCCCCTCACAGTAAGTAGACACTATGCTGTGAAAGACAGAATTAATGGATTTCACGAAACTGGAACAGTATGAGGTACCTTTAAAATCTCCACTATAATAATGTGCACACCTCTACCACACAGATGAAATTAGCTACTCTGTTCTGTGATACCTTCAGCATTTAACCTTTTACATCTGCAATGTGTTTAAACTCCTTATTTAGCCTCAGGCATTGCTGGCCTAACTCCCTCCCGTCCCCCTAACTTCTAAAATTATCATCACCTCTTTAGAACACTGAAAAGGCCTTTCATCCTTCTGAAGGCCCTCCATACCTTGAAATCCTCCAGAGAATAACAGCGCTTGAACATTTTTTTGTATTTCTTTGAATCTTCTCTCATCCGTATGACCCTCTGGCATTTCAGAGCACTCAAGTTATAACTTGGTTTCACTGTTAGACTCCATTCTTTGTGCAGGAAATTTCAGAGAACTATCTTTCTTCAGTTCTTCTCTTTTATTGTTCCCAAAGCTTATGACTGAAGTGCAGTTTCCCTCCCCAGATTTCATCAGAATAACCAGTCATGGCCCTAGCAGAAAATCCAAAAAGGATTCTTTATAAGGTTGGGAAAAAGGAAGAAGCAGAAGGATTTACTCTTTTTAGTGAGAGTCCAAACTGATTACTTGAAGTTAGTTGCACCATTCTGTCTACCAGTTAGGCTATTCCAGAAATCACATCACTTAAGCACAAGCAAAAACCAAGGAGGGTGCCTGCGCGGTAATGTTCTCTAAGCTGTGTGTCTCTTTGAAAGACTTTTCTATGGCTCAAAGAATGGGTCTCCTCCCCTTCCTGGTGCCACCGAGGGACTTCATTTCCATCCAGTGAGACAGCAAACAGCCTTTTCGGAGGCTGGGTTGACTCCTGCTGTCTTTTGGAGAAAGGGGAAAGAAGTAGCCTCCATACACATGATGCATGGGGCTGCTTCTGGAAGGAGGCAGAAACTGAAAAATGGAATCACTTTTGAACACCTGGAATTTCTTCTCATAGAAAATGGGAATAGACAAGTGTGAGGCTACCTCTGACAGACTTGACAATCAGTTGTGAGAAGAAGAGCTAAGTGAGGATTTTTCCAATCCTAGCTGCAGGAACAATTTTAGGGGGCATCTCCTAAATTATGCCAAGAAATATCAAACTTACCTAATACAATTCCCTGCTAAGTCTGTTGGCATCAATCCATAGATCAGTTTATA